GGCCTGGCCAAGGGCGCTATCGCCTTACACAACAACATTGAGGAAGCTTCCAGACCAGGGAGCACATTGTTGAGGGTTGGCCACCCTGGGGGGCAGAGGGGAAGGAGATAGAGTATGCGCATGACTGCATTTCAGCCTGCACGCCCCGCTCCTCATGAATGGGATGCCAAGTGTTGAAATCCCAGGCAAGGTAAATTGCTTTTCCTCAGAGGCAGTGACCTGAGCTCTGCTCGGGGCTTTTCTCTTGTAAGGTAAGGCCAGTGGAGAACTGGCCCGGTCTCCTGGGGCAGCCCAGGAGAGGGAGCAGGGCCTCCAGTGACCCCGGGGGCCCCCTGCGTTACTCAGCCCCAGGCCTGCGTGGAGGGCTGTGTCCATGGGTCTGTGTGGGCCTCTGCTCGGCAGCTAAGTCTGCATTCCCCGGGCCCTCTCCTGAGGTGCTTGGGGTCGGCCAGCCCTGCCATTGGCCCTCCCTTGTCCCCCTGCTGGAGAGGCAGGCTGGGCACCCCTCACTTTCTGCCGTCGCTCCTCCGCTCCTCCGAGGACCACCGCTCAGCTCCCCATCTCGGTTCGGGAAGCACTTCCTCAGGGAAAGTGCTGGATAAGGACATGGGTCGGGGTGTTCTGGGGACTGACAAGCAAAGTGAGTGCCCGCGTAGGTGACTCTCTGAATCCCCCCAGGTCAGTGAGGCCTGGAGAGGTGGGGTCACTGGCCTGGAGTGGGCAGAAGGGCCAGGACCGGAGGCAGGCAGCCAGGGCCTGAGCAGCGGCCGGCTGGCTCCCGGCTCCGAGAACACTCCATCCGACCAGCAACACCAGTCATGTTCTGTCTACGCAGAGGCACGAATAGTCGGTTTGGGGGGTGGGGGACAGGCCGCATGGCAGGTGGCGACGAGCCTCCACCAGGCCCAGAGCAGGGCTCCCCCCAAGAAGCCCGCACCCCGCCCCGTGCTGTTTTTACTGCTCTTTCCTTCTGCTTGGTTTTTGCCTGCAACCTCGGGGCTGGCTCCAGGCTGCTGTCCCAGGCTGTGCTCCAGGCCGCGGGGCGGGGTGGGGGGGCAAGGGGGCAGGGCGAGCTGCTTGGCGGCTGTCCCAGGCCTCGCCCATCGCCCACTCTGAGGCCCCATCGGCCACTGGGGTCCGGGGGAAAGGTCTTTGGGGGCAGAGGCTGTGCGGGGCCGGGCGGGATGTACCCCCCTCCCCACTACGTCCGGGGCCAGCCGCACCCCCAGGGTGCTCTCGGCCCCAGGGAACTTCGGGAAGCCCCTTGGCTGGGGCGGTGGCTGTCAGCAGTGCCTGGGCGGCAGAACATTCCCGTTCTTCCTGCCTTGGCAGGCCGGCCCTGCACTGGAAGGGAAGCCATCTGTTT